TCCAGGATAAAACAGCATCTGGGAGGCCAAGAGCTTCAGCTAAGCCACCCAGTTTTCTCAGAATTGGCCTGCCAGCCCTGTGCCCGTGATTGGGAGATAATCCTCAGCCTCCTCTGGTGGCTCCCATTTAATTTTATTATTACACGAGAAAACTGTCTCCATATTAACAGCATTGTCACCTTCAGGCCTGGACTATTAAGGGGGGCTGACAAAGAATATTTTGTGTTAACTTGTAGCCCTGCAGGACAATAGGTGGATCTGCCCTCCATCTCCACCATCCTTGTCTCCATCACCTCCATCCATCTTCATCTCCATTTGTCTCCATCTCTCCATCATCTTCATCTCCACCATCTCATTTCTATCCCCATCCCCCCTCCATCATCCTCTCCATCTCCATCTGTCTCCATTCCATCCTCTCCATCTCCATCTTCTCCATCATAATACATCTCCATCTTCATTTCCATCATCATCTCCATCTTCTCTGTCATCTTCATCTCTATCCCCATCCTCAACTTCACCTCAATTATATCCCCCACCCCAGCCAGGAGGGCAGCTGCAGCACAGAGGATGCTCCCCATCAGGTGAGGCCCCTCAACTCCAGCCTGCTGGACAGAAGGTTCTGTGGATGCAGCTGTGGTTCCATGGTGGTTCATTCTCCTGTCAGGTTAATCAGTCTTCTTGAGCTTTAGCAGCTATTGGGAAACCCCTCCCTTGATCCCGATGGGGCCTCCCATATGCAGGTGAAGCTCCCACAACGGGCCCCACATGAGAGCAGACCCTGCCATCAAAGGGGCACCACACCTGTTCTCAGCGGGATCTCCTCTGGGTTCAACACAAGGGGATCCAGACAATCCAAGGAGAGCCAGAACAAGCTTTTGGAAATGCAAGTTTCATCTGCCCTTCCGTCACCAGTTGAAGGCCACTCTGCGGCACCCATCATCCCCAGCCCCAGCCCGAAGAGAAGGGTGTGTGATGGGAGGGTTGCCACACTCATTATTCCCCTCTAGAGATCTGGCCAAGGGGGTTCCCAGCCAGATGGCTCCTGCAGCCACTCATCAAAAGGCATTGTGGGCCTCCTTTTCTTCCTCAACACATTTTGTTTTCCCGAAAAGAAGGAAGGTGGGAGAATTGCAAAGAAAAATTATGCAAAGTCCCAGGAAGGAGGGGGGATTTCCACCCGAGAGCCTGATCTGGAAGCCCCCCAAGGCTGAGCCTGGGCCTGTTCCCAGGAGCATTGTCAAGCACTGAGCATCCAGCTGCCCCTTCTTAGTAGCTACTGACCAGATGCAGCTGGCTTCACACAACATGCTCAACCCTGAATGCAGGTTAACAAAAGACCACGTGACAGGCTCAAGCCAAAGAGTTTGGTGGCTCCACGCTGTGCAAGGGCTCCATGTTTTATTTATTGAATTGGCCGGCAGGTATCTGCCCCCCTTTTCCACCATGACCCCCAAGAGGTACATCCCTCCCTCCCACAGCAGCAGAGGAAGTGCGGGGCCTCAATTTGCCCAGGGGGCTCCCAAGGCTGAGAGAGGATCTGAACCCGGATCCCCTGGGATCAGCGCAAAATCCTCATCACCACGCCATATCCTGAACTCCGCCATTGGCTCAGCGAAACCAAGGTTGAAACGTTGCATGTCTCAATTGGCTATTATTTTTCTCTTTTTTTCCTTCTTCTTCTGGTAGCAAATTTCCTGCTCTGTCGACGAGCCGTTAGGATGGAGCAAAGTAGAAGTAAGATTAATAATTAAATAATAACGAAAGAAATGGAGAGCTGGGCAGATGCTTGCATTTCGAACACAAAGCTATCCTGCGTCCTTCGCAAACGGCAGCAGAAGAGCCCAGATTGTTCCCCTCCACTCGAAGTGGCTTTTCAGAGACACAGAATGCAAAACGGTTCAAGGAAATTGGTCATTCTTAGGCTACCTTTCCCATCAGCTGGATCCACTTTTCCACACCTCTCCATGGAAATCCAGTTGCATGAGAAAATGACAGGTGTTTCCCACGAAAGCCTGGCCCCACTTTTTGGAAGTTGAATTCCATTTTTGGCTGTTGGGGTTGGAGGCCCTCCGTTTTGTTCCTCCAGCCCGGAGTGGGTGGGTGGGTGGGGGTAGGGCGCAGGAGAGAAGCCTTCAGGGAGACAACCGAGTCTTTAATGGTCTCTTGTGCACAGGCAGCTGACCTTCCTCCTAGCACACCTTGTCACTGTCTTTGCCTTGCTGATGGAGGAAAGAACTTACCCCCGTGAAGAAGATTAGATTTAAACCGGGGCTGCTTTCGCAAACGCTTATTTGTAAGCAAGCCGAAAGCTTCTGTCTCCAGGTTTTCTTGCGCTCAAGTTAAGACCCATCCCCACCCCTCCCTCCCCTGTCTCTGGATCCCTTCAAAATCTGGAGAAAGCCAACTGGGAAATAGGACTTGGTTCCCCAGGAGTGACCCCCCCACCCCATGAATCACAACGGGGGTGGGGGAGACATCTATTTACAGCCATGTATTGAGAAAGGGCAAGCAGAACCGAATGTCACTTATCCAAGAGAGACCAGTTTCTTTTCATTGGCTTCAACCACAATACATTTGCAAAGCTGAGCTTCTCAGCATATCCTTTTATTTGTTTGCGGAGGCCATGAAGGAGGACCATTTTCTGCCATTTCCCAAAATTCAAGCAAGGTGAATGAAGTGGGGCCCAGATGGAAGCCATGCTGTCTGCCTTCCAGAGAAGGCATTTCCCCCAAAGCCCCACCGCCAGGCCCCTTGGGGAACAATGGGGCAGAGAACCCTCTTTGTTGCCTGGAGGCAGCGGGAGAGCCTTTCAGAAGCAGCCAAGAAGATGCTAGGCCTTGTCATGGGTTCTCTGGTTTGGGGGGCATACAAAATAGCCCCCTCATTCCACGGAAAATGAAAAAGGCAAAGAAGCGATGAGGACACAGTCGCACTCAGAATGCAGCCGAGAGGTATTTATATGAGTTGCAAACGGTGGGAGGGATTTATCTGCGCCCCCCCCCAAATCCATTCTTTCCTGCCAGCCCCGCTTTCTGCCCTGTGGATCACAAACAGCCCCTTTGGGTCAGCAGGTAACCCAGCCTATGGAAAAGAAGCTTCTTTTGTAGTCACGCACACAATTCCATTTTGCAGAGGGCTTAAAACACGACTTAAAATAACATGAAAATAATACAAGCGGGGACCCTTTCCAGCCCCTCACAAGAGCCCAGCCTAATTAAACAAAGAGCAGAGCGGCTTCCGCTGCAATGCACCTTCCGAGGGCTTTGCCTGCACCACCGCCGTGGCAGTGGAGGGCTTGGACAGAGGGGGATTTGGGTTGGTGGGCCAGCCTGGACAGTGGGAAAATAAGGGGAGGGGGAGGAGGCACAAACACACACACACACACACCCCAGAATGTCAGGGGCTCTTCTCTGTACCTTTTCTTTCTTTCTTTCTTTTTCAGAGCCTGTGAATGAACTCTGAATGAAGTGATTTTAGGGCACAGGCAGATCTTTATAATCCCCCTTTTTCTGGAGGATTTATAACCAGATTTGCTGTGAGGCCTCAGAAAGGTGCTCCTTGGAGGGGGCGGGAAGGGTCCTCTCTGCTGCAGGAGCACAGCTGGTGGGCCTCAAAGCCTCCTAGCTTTAGTAGCAGAAAACCCACCGCTGGTTCCATTGTACTGACTGGATTCAAAAGTCAGACCTTTCCAACTTCACCCAAGTTCCTTTTCCACCACAGCAAGACCCCCACCCTGGATCCCGGTTTCCCTCTTCTGCCCAGAGCCCCAGCAAAGACCCCCCTCCTTTCTTCCTGGCGCATATCAATATGGAGCTGCAACCTAGTTCCAAGCCGTTCCTGCCTCGCATGGGGGGGAGACCATGTTTCTTCATCGTCGCCATTCCCTCCCCCCCCTTTAAAGACTGGGACTTCAGCGGCGGCGGCCGTTCTTTCCCGGAGGGTGGGGCAGCCCGAGTCCCCCTCCCCGCCTACACCGGACGACAAAGAAGAGCTGGAAGCGCCCTGGGAGGGAGGCAGCCTCGGCAGCCCCTCAGCGGCCGCCAGAACGGAGCGCCGGGGCCGAGGGAAGGCCGAGGCGGACGGTCCGGAGGTTCCGAGGTCCCCCTGCCCAAGTTCGACTCCACTCGGCTTCTCCCGACGCCTCTGCCGGGTCCCGCGCTCGCCGCCTTCCCGGCTCCCCCCCATCAGCCGCCGCCGCCGCCGCCGCCGCGCGAGAGTCCGAGGAGAACCACACCCCCTTTCGCTCCCAGAAAGGCTCCCAACAAAAGAAGGGCTTCCTCAGCCTTCCCCGCCGGCTCCCCAGCGGCAGCGGCCCATTGAGAAGCGCCGCGCGTCCCTCCGAGCGGGAGCTTGGCGGCCACAAAGGGCGGGGGGCGGGGGGGCTCCGCACACAATTAAAAGTAAGCGGCGGGTTTCTGGGCAGGCTGAGCGCCGGAGCCGCGCATCGCTTTCTCCCCCGCCGCCCCGCCACATCTGGGCACCGCCGGCAGACAAAGGGAGCGCAACTTCCCGGCCTCTCCTCCAGCGGCGCGAGCGGCTGGCTCAACGGCGAAGAGGGGGACCCGCCCGGCGGGCCTGGCTCCGAAGGCCCCGCTCCGCGCCTGCCCTGCAGTGCCCAGCAGTCACCTGCGCGGAGGGGCCCTCAGGGGGCCCGCTCAACTTGGCCCTTCCCGCCCGCCGCCCCGGCACCAACCGAGGGAGCCCAAACAGGAGGCGGGCGCGTCGGCCGAGGGGCCGGCCGGGGTGGAGGCGCAAAGGGCCGGCAGCGCCCGCAAGACAAGTGCAGCCGCCGCCGCCGCCGGCCGGCCCGAGCACAAAGGCAGGAAGGCGGGAGCGCGGCCGAGGGGACCGGGCGGCCGAGGGGGAGTGGCCCTCCTCGGCCGAGGCAGCGCCGGGAAGGGGAGCGGGCGAGCGAGCGCGGGGCGGCGGAGACAATGGGCATGGCGGCCTCCCTCCCTCGCTCCCTCCCTGCCGTCCGTCCCCTCGGCGGCCCGGCTCACCTTGCCTGCCCACGATCTCGGCCACGTGCTCGGAGCTGGGCACCGGGACGCACTCGGTGGTGTTGGAGCTGCTCTTCAGCCGCAGGTCGGCTTCCTTGTAGAGCACGCAGAGCTTGCCGGCCTCGGGGGCTCCGGGCGGCGGCGGCGGCGGGGGGGGCGGCGGCGGGATGGCGGCCCCCGAGGAGCCCTTGGGGGCGGGGGGCGGCGGGGGCTGCTGCGGCTGCTGGGCCGAGGGCGGCGGGGGGGGCGGCGGGGGGGGCGGCGGCGGGGGCGCGGGCTGCTGGGGCTGCGGCGGCGGCGGGGGCTGCGCCGGCTGGCCGCCGCTGCTGTCGTCCGCCGCCCCGCCGCCCCCCAAGGCCGAGGCGGCGGCGGCGGAGGGCGCGGCGCCGGCCGAAGGCTCCCCCAAGCCCAGCAGGCAGAGCTGGTCGAGGGCCAGCTGCAGCGCCCGGTCGTCCTCCAGCAGCGCCCTGTCCTTGCTGCTCCCCGGGAAGCAGCCCAGGTCCCCGAAGCCCCCGTTCCTTTCCATTATCCCTGACACTACCAGGCTAGGCATGGCTAACAAAGGCTGGGGAGAGAGGGGGGTGGGGGGGCGCGGCGGCGGGATGGCGATGATGGGGCTGCTCCTGCTTTCGCTGGGGCGGCTGCTGCTGCTGCTGCTGCTGCTGGTGGCTGGGAGGGAGGGGAGGGGAGGGGGCTGGGCGGGGGGGGAGGAGAGGAGGAGGAGGAGGAGGGGAACAAAGAGCCTGCGAGGAGGGAGGGGGAGGCACAAAGAGGGGGAGCGAGGCGGCCGGGAGGGAAGAGCCGGAGACCCCCGCCCACCTCCCTTCTTTCCCTGCTGGCCGAGCCCCAGCTCCCCGCTCCTTTCGCCTCTGGCGGCGCGGCGCGGCTCGCCTCCTCGCCCGGTGCTGCCTGCGCTGAAACCTGATCTTCCTGCCCAACGTGGATCCAGCCAGCCGCACAAAGCTCTCCCGCGCGTCCGCCCGCTTTCTTTCTTTCTTTCTTTCTTCTTTCTTTCTTTCTTTCTTTCTTTCTTTCTTTCTTTCTTTCTTTCTTTCTTTCTTTCTTTCTTTCTTTCTTTCTTTCTTTCTTTCTTTCTTTCTTCTCTCTCTCTTCTCTCTTCTCTCTCTCTCTGTCTCCTTTCCTTCCTTCCTTCCTTCGCCTTCTTTTTTTTCTTCCTTCTTTCCTTCCTTCTTCCCTTCCTTCTTCCCTTCCCTGCTTTCTTTTCTTCCTTCTTCCCTTCCCTGCTTTCTGCTCTCGCTGCTCTCCCAGACCCCGCCTGGCAGCGAAGGGGGTGTGGAGATGGAGACCGGGAGAGAGGCGAGCGAGAGCGCGCAGCAGAAGCGCGGAGGGGCGGGGAGACCCGGCAGAACCGAGGAGCGCCCGAGTCCGCCCGCCTTGGCCGGCCACCAGCCAGCCAGCCGGCAAGGCCCGCCGAGCCGGAGTCCGGGGCGCGGAAGGGCTCCGGCCGCGGGAGGAGCGGGCGGGCGGGCGGGGGCTGCCGAGGCTTCTTTTGTTTCCAAGTCCCTGGCTGCAGCTCGAAGCCGAGCCTGGCGAAGAGGCCCGGAGGCTGATGGGGGATGTAGTTTCCCGGGCGGCTCACACACCCCCTTTTCGCGCTCCGGGCGCGCGGGGGCGGCTGGCGTGGGCGCCGGGGCCGCGAGCCTCTCTCCGGCAGGAGCCCCCTCCCCGACCCGACCCACCGGGGCCATGGCACGCAGGGCGAGCCCGCCGGAGCCGCTCCGTCCTGGCAGCGCGGGGCAGGTGCAGCCCGCCGCGTCCTGGGCGTGGCGCTGCCCTGCTTGGCTCTGGGCTCGCACGACTCGCGGAGGAAGCCCGGGAAGCCTTCGGGTGCTCCGGCCTCGCTCCGCGCTCGGGCTGGAAGGCGGGGGACGAGGGCAGAAACCCGCCGGAGGGCCCGAAGCGAAGCGGCCGGGGGATGGCGGGGTCTCTTGGCGTCCAGAGCCCCAGGGGGAGAGAGCGCTGGCCCCCGGGAATTTGGGCTCTGCAGGCCCTCCAGCCGGAGGGACCCTCTTTTGCACCCTGGAGGGTCCATAAGGCTGGCCTGAGCCTAGAAGCCCCTCGGCGGGAGCAACCCAACTTAACCTATTAACAGCTTGGAAACCATGCCGAAGCCTCGGACAAACTTGTATAGTTATTAATGAAGGCATGGAGCATTTTTAAGGACGGATATCCTTGGACCAGAAGCCAATTGTTCAGTGAAACTGATGCTGCAGTTCAGAAAAACAATTGCAGTTGTTTTGGATGGTAGTTCCGGAAATTTGTCCTGAAATCTGCCCTTCTGTTCAACAACCACTTAAGAACAGTCCCTGCTGGATCAGGTTTTGGGGATTGCCCTTTGTGATATTCCACATTGTGATCATTTGTTAATCTGAGTCAAAAGCACAGCCATTCAGGACCCAGAGATGCTAATTTTATCCCACGACTACACCGGCAACACCGTTAAGGATCTGACTGCATCCCACTCAACATCAGGAGCTTCTACACCTGATCATCTATGACTCTCTTTCTCTGTGTGTGTGTGTGAGAGAGAGAGAGAGCACCATTTACTAGCAATGCCCATTAAATTTGTGGCCTATCGTGTGTTTAGCAGCACAGAAAGCGGAAACATCAGAGACTGTTATCAAGCAGCCTTTGCTTTGTGAATGGAGAGCATTCATAAAGTAATTAGCACCGTCTAGACCCCTCCGTTCTGCCTTGCCACTCTCTGCCACCCTCATTCCTGCCACCAGGCACACATTTCCTCGTCATTTGGGGTATGAACCGGGCAGTGGCTCACCAAAGGCTGTAATAAAACTTTTGAAGGGTTTCAGCTGCCACAAAGTCTCTGTTCTACATAGTTAAGCTGCCCAGAGTCACCTGTGCATGAGTTGGGCAGGGATATATATTTGTTTAATGAATAAATAAACAGACCAACCTCCTGGGATGGATTATTGCCTAGTCTGACCCATGTTCATCCAAGGAGCTCCTGCCTTGTAAAGAGGATGGATCAGCAAAGGGGAGAGCAGGCTTCTTTGCATTCTGGACCGAGTGGTAAAGGTGCTCCATGATGCCACGGCACTGAGCCACCAATTTCTGTGACAGGCTCCTTGCCCTCTCCCAGCCCCTCCAAAATCTGCCTGCCCCTCTCTCCCTGGCGGGTCCTGTCACCGGAGGGTTCCCCGGCCATAACTTAGCATTGTAGAAATGAACCTGGGGACTAGAGAGAGCGAGAGAGCCACACCTGGGGTTTTCTTGAGTCTGATGGGGATCACCATTAGCTTCATAGAGCGTTTTCTCAACTTCATTTTGTTTTTCAACTGCTGTTTTTAGAGATTAAGCTTGTGAAAAAGGAATATACCTACTTGTAAAATATCCATAAAATAAAATGTAGTTTTAGCCCAGGCACCCTTCTCCATTTGTGTGTGTATGCCGGGGGGGGGGGGGTTCCCTTGGATCCCCTCCACTTCATTGGGGAAATGGGCCTTCCTGCTGGCCTCTGGATCTCCCAGGCCCAGATTCATAATTTTTCTAAGGCTTCCCTTCCCCTCTCGCTCCCACTGTGGTCTGGAAGCCCCAATACTCTGGCCCAGCAGCCCCTCTGCAAGTCCAGGGCCAGAGCCCCCTTGCTATCTCCTGGCCCTCGTCTGCCGGGGGCCTGGGAGTTGGTAGCAGAGCTGGCTTTGCTCTAAGCCATCTTCCTGCAACTGGAGTCCTCCAGGAATGATAGGCCTGAAATTCCAGACCAACCAGGTTGGAAAAGCGTTCTTTAGGGTAACCCTGACTTAACCATGGTGGTTTAGTCTCCAAAAGAAGTTTGATCAATTCTTCAAAAAGAAAGAAGAGGGTCAGACGGCATGGACACAAGCAGCAGAGTTTCTCAACCTCAGCACCTTCACCCTGTGTGGAATCCAGCTCCCAGAATTCCCCAGCCAGCATGCTTTATATGTAGAGACTCCAACTCCCATACTGGCTGAGGAATTCTGGGTCTTGAAGTCCAGACTGCTTAAAGTTGTTGAGAAACACTGACTGAAGAAATCAGATGAGGTCAACTCCAACCTGTCACCAGCCTTTCCAAGACTCTGCCCTGGCGATTGGTGGGCTTCAAAGCTGCATGGCTTTGGACAACTCTGCGATTTGCTTTAACAAAGGGAGCCTTTTCATGCTGCTACCTTCTGCCCACCAGAAGAAGGAAGAGACAGTTGCGACCTGGGAAAGCGAGTCCCCCTCCCCTTCATTCCTAGCAGAGACCCTTCCCTCCACTCGGCTCTGACCAAGCCTGACCACTGTTTCGTGGCAGCCCAGTTCTCCACAGCAAAAGCGCGGAGGTGAGCTGAGCTTGCACAGACTTGCGGCTCTCTGTGGCAGGGACCCCAGGTGCTGCTCTGGGTTGGAAATGCTGAAGGCCACAAAGCCAGGGACCCCGGACTCAGGGCCCCTCCTCTTGCCCTTTTATCATCAGCAGGGGGGGCAGGGCGGGAGGGGGAGAAGAAAGGAAGCAGTGCTGGACTGAGTCCTCTTCCCAAATCTGGTGGGTGGGGGTGGTGAGGAATGCCTTTTCTTCTCCGAGGGAGAGCTGGGAAGGCTTTTGTTCTTGGAAGGCTCCAGCCCCACTTTGAATCAAAACAGATGTCTCTCCCACCACTGCCATCCATTACATGAGCTCATGGAGGGGAGGGGAGGGCAGGGGAGGGGAGGGAGGAGTGGGGCAAGGGGATCAGGAGGGAGGGGCAGAGGGAAGGAGGAAGAGCCCTGGGGAGATGCTCAGGGGGCTGCTGCCGGCAGGCTTCTTCCTCTGCAAGGGGCGGCTGGGGGAGGGAGGAAAAGGCAGGGGGAACCAGGCGCAGCAATTCTCTGGCGCCTGCCCGGCAAGTGTCTTCCATCACCCTTGCAAGATTCCCTCGCCATGCCACCAGGGAGGGCTGGGCAGTGCCACAGCAGATCCTTGAGGCCTGCCAAGAACTCGGGGGCAGGAGAAAAAGGTTCCCTATCCCTGCACCCTTGGCACCAGCCATGCATGAAGCCAGCCGTCTTAAAGATGGGCTCTGCCCTGGCACTTTTGCTGGAACAAATGTGGAACCTCTGGCCCTCGGTCGGGACTTCCCACCTCTCTGGAAAGCATTTCTCTCGCATTCCCACCTGCGCTTCTGAAGTCGGCTATTCCATAGTTGGTTGTTCACAAGATGGTTCCAATGCGCGACAGGAATGGCTTGGAGGCATCACCGGGGGCGTCTTCCTGAACCAATGAGTTTCTCATTTGAGACCAGGACCCTGGCTGTTAATTTGAGAATTGCGGTCAACTGGCACATGATGAAGTGAAAGAAAGTAAAGGCAGAGATTGAAAGTAAGGCAGTCAACATTCATGCCTGACCTCGCGAAAGAGGGAGGGATTCAGGATATTTCAGGGACTCTTTAAAAGTGGACCATACAGGTAGTCTTCAACTTACAACTAAGCTCTCAAAACTTTTTTATTTCAGCAGGCTGGCCTGGCCTAACTCTCCTCTTTTAAATTTTTAATTCTTTTTGATTTTATAAATTGGGTGTTTTAATCTGTGTTTTGGCCAAAATATTTAATAATTTTAAGGGATTTTTTAATATTTGTATTATCTGTATTTTATCCTGGCTGTTC